GTCACTCAAGGTGGTAAATCCCACAGAGCCTACTTCTCAAGGAACCTTTATCAAGCAAGGTTGGGCAAATCTACTAGACGGTGGCCCAGTGAGCAAGTTTAATCAGCCTGTACAGACGGACAGAAAGACTGTTTAGCGAGACAGTTATTATAACAGCAAGTTATGCTTTGTTACAAGCCAGTTGTCTCTGTAACCATCCAGAATCTCCACACAAAGTTGGTATGCTTTTAAAGCTCAGAATAAATTTCAGAATTGCCAACATTTGTGTAACCGGAAGAGAATTACACAGCAATCCAAATTACTGTATAATAAACAGTTACTGATAAGCAATCATGGGCTAAATTCACTTCTGATATAAATAGATGCAACTCCATTTGGGCCTATATGTTTATTTCATCCTGTCCAGTTAGTACTTTTTGCCAGCTGAGATGAAGTTTAAAAGGAAGAAACCAAACCAAGTTTTCAGCAAGACAACCATGAAAATGTTTTCCCTTATCTCAGTCTGGTAACATTGTCATGAAACTTTAGCAATCCAGGCACAAAAATCTTTTCACCCACCCTTTACACCAGTGATTGAAGATATTAGGAGAAAGGAAAAAAAAAACTAATTGTATTTCATATGCCCATTGTAAAGAAAAAAAGGTTACTTTCCATACGCAAGTAGAAAATTTGCAAAGCTGTCGTGTCCAGAAAACAAGTGCCTCCCACAATCTGTCAGCCTACATGAATAGCCACACTGAGATATTTTAGTGGCATCCAAATACAAATAGCAAGAGAAACAAACATTATGCTAAGTTTATTTTTCCAAAATAATGTGCTGAAAATAATTCCCAAGTTCAAGGACTAAAATCTCAAAAGAAATGTTACAGAATAAGGTAAAAAGACTTCCACCCCATAGGCTAGAGTGTTATGGTCACATTGTGCATCCCAATGAATCAATATTTAAGAATATTCCACACCCTAGCTCAAGATCTCAGCTTAACAACCAGAACATAAGACTTTTCTGTTCCTTCTGCATAAGCTATTCAGATAGCTTATACCAAAGTCCTTTTCCTTTAAGTCCCAAATTGCTTTTCTAATGTCCAGTAATTCTACCACAGTCTACTTATTCTACTAGTAATTTGACTGATCTAACTTAAATTAAGTTGAATAGACAGCAATTAATATAATTTTAGCAGAGGACAAGATTTCATACAGTAAATCTCATTATGCCTTATAGAAATCAAATTAGAAAACCAGCAGGCTTTTTATATAACTTCATTTCAATATGCACAGGTATATGCATGCGTGTATACATATATACACACAAAGTTAAATACAATAATTTACAATACAAATAAAAAGTGGCAAGCCTCCAAACCTTAACGCACGTAACTAAACAGAGTCCTTTCATTGGGTAGATACTTGATTTAAATTTCACCTACTCTTATTCTAAAGCAGTGTAAGTTTTTGAAATCAATAGTCAAATAGGCTCTTAGGCAGGAGCCAAATCAAGTACAAAAATCTTTACAAATTAAACCAGAGACAGTCAGCCCTGTCCTTTCATCTAACAATCACTAGGGCCTAGATATGAACTCGTAATTGAAAATCTGAAATAGTAAGGCTGCCAAATAAACCAAATCCATCTCACATTCTCATAACTCATCTGTATTTATCATCATCTCTGTACATTATATAGCTTGATCAATTACTTGCTCCCTCCCCTCCCTTTCACTGCATATAACTTGTAGCTTCTAAAACATTAAGACCAGCATCCCTCTTCAACCACCATTCCTCTTCAAATGGTAGGAGGCAGAAAAAATAAACCTGCCATGTGTTTAAAAAAAGAGAGAGCGCACTAAGACACAGATATTTAATCAGGTCTCATTTTGACGGCAGAGACTCCTCAATTCATCTCCCTCCAAAAAGGTTAATACATTCTTCCCTCTCTTTCTTATGACTCCCACAAAAGTCACAATGGAAACACTTAAACGTTACTGTTCTTTTAAGGAGTCTTTGGTCTTTAAGATGTTTAAGACACAATCAACCCACAACATTCACAATAAAAAAAACAAAGCAACAGTTCTAATTTGAATCTCCTAATTTTGATAGGACTTTTTAGTGATTTTATTTTAAAAACAAAACACGCAGACTGGGCCTCTCACAGAGACCCCTCCACCATGGAGAATCCCCATTAAGAAAGGATCCAAGGGGCAGCCGTGACCACAGGATTTCTGTGCCAAGGAGAGGGTGGGAGAACACACAGGCTCCATGAGTAGGGGTAGAGGCACAAAGCCCTTGTGCCAACATCCTTGGAATCCTCCATATTTGAAAGTGAGCCTTGTGGCTCAGTCTGCCAGGAGAGTGTGGGCCAAAACCCAGCACCCAGAGACTGAAGTGAATGAGAAAATTCCCCACTGACTTCAATGGGGCAGGATTTCACCCCACAAAATCTCTGAGACATCCTCCCCTTATGTCTCTCCTCTGGGAGGTGGCAATCAGATTTTCAAGAGGCACTTTGGAAGCACATTGGCTGCTGAACTCTCTTGAAAATCTGGCCCCAAAGCAAGTTATGCCTCCTGTTTTTAATTTCTGGACACAGGAAAGATGGCTTTCAGAAAGTATGGAAGAAGTGAGGCACCTCAAGGGACCTTGTCAATGTGAAGTCTAGTCAGTTCCAGAGAGTTAAAGGTACTTTCATGAAGTACATCTGCCTCAGAGACTTCCTATCAATTTTTTTTTTATATATAAAGAAAAGTGCCCGTCTCCCACCATTGCTATGTGAAAGGCCCATACAAATGGGGAATACTGACTGATGGTGGAAGGAAAACAGTGAAACTGACAGAGTGCTGTCAAAGGTACAAAGCAGACAATTGGAAGAAAAAAAAAAAAAAAAAAGAGAAAAAAGTTTTTTCTATTTGTCCTAAAAGTATAGTCATCTCTGGGATTTACTTGTAGCAACAGTAGGTTTAAAAAAAAAAACAAAAAACCACACACACCACACACAGACAGAAGTCAGATTTCTAAAGTTACAGATGTCCCGTTAAGCCCAGAAAGAATTGATGTCTAGATCTGAGTTCACCAAGTATATGGGGGACCTTTTGACGTTTTAGTACTCCAAAATATAGATTGTGACAATGTAAACATACATCTACAATACTTCCAGATACATGGGTATGTGCTCCTGCTTCAGAAGAGGTGCTTTCCCAGATGGGTTGGCTAGAGCAGGATACAAACAGGTTAAGGTAACCCTCTAATCCCACAATTACAAAGGGGACAGGGAGAGGGAACACTGCTTTCTGATGGACGGCGATACTTCTATTTTGTTCATTCTCCCAAATACAGGGAAACAGAAGGATCATTTATGAAGACTGAATTTATGGTACTGTTCCTGAAGTTTTTATCATGCTGTCCTCTCAGATCCACTATACCCTCATATATCCTTTCCCCCTTTTCTTTTTCTCATTACACGTCTCTGTTCCTTTCCCCGTCATTTTCTTTTGTTCCTCAATGTTGCCTCCTTTTTGGCCCATCAGGTCCTCTTAAAAAATTTCCTAAGCTTTCAGAATCACTTACTGGAGAGGCTTTTGCTGCCTCTAGTCTCTTGATCCAGAGGATCTGCTGAACTGTTTTGCTTGCCTGTGATTGACAGGAGGCAAGGCTCTCTTCATCTCCACAGAGCAACTACAGGAAGTTAATTTAAATTAAGTTAAAATGAACAGTGACCAATTTGAGAAGTTTGGGGGAAGCCAAACAGATCCTCTTCTGCATAGTTTCAGAAAGCAGTCTGTATAGAATGTTATAAAATGAGTTAGACTTCAGCTACCAACTCACAAACCTTTCAAACATAGTAAACAAAAAGCAAAACAAAATGTTAATTACACTCCACCCCTTCCAAAGTGACAAGAAAAACACTATTAAGTGCACAGCACCATCAGACAAAACAGTTTTTCAACAGTGCTTTTAATCCCCATTGGTAATCAAATATCCTTCAAGCTCCTACCTTATGTAATTAGAAGTACTTCCACAGGTGACTGGTAATTAATCAGGAGGCTGTCTTTTCTTTTACTAACCCCTTTCTCTCACATGCACTCATTTATGCTATTTTTATACCAACATTAAATCCATAAGTTTCCCCCTTTAAATACCATTTCTCTCTATCTGGGCAAGTCTTCTATGTAAATTAGAATCTTGGAGACTAAGTTTTAATGAAAATGAATTAGATATCAAAATGAGATCTTAAAGGAGCAATATGAAAAAGTGAAACCTGATTTTCCTTAAAGGGACAGTGGTGTCAATTACTCATTTTCTCTTTCATTTTACTCCTAAAAGGATCAAATCAAGTAACATACTTTTTTTCTAACAAGTTTCATTCATTTTTTCTCAGTTCCATGCTTCCAACGTTCACATAGTGGGATATACTATTTGCTGTTTATAAACTGCACTTGATAACATTTCTAATTAAAAATCAGTAGTTGTGGGTCACCTGCTGACAGCTACCATAGTAGACAACAATAGGCAGTTCTCACTTTCACCCACGGTTCTCAAACTCTTTATGAATGAATCCTCAAACACTCTTGAGACTGAAATGGTATTATGGCCATTATACTGATGGGGAAATGGAGGCATAGGGAGGTGAAGTGACTTGTTGACGGCAAGTCAATTTCATAGATGGGAATAGAACCCAGAAGTCTTGATTCCCTCCTATACACCGCTGAAAAAGCAAGGATTTGTAACTTGGGATTCTGCGATCACAAAATTCCTTATAAGAAAGCCAGTCTCCCTTGTGCTTTACATCTGACCTTGGGCCTACATGGTGGGATGTTATAAATGGCATCACTTAGCATTCTGGCGGCTGCCAGCAGGTGCCCAACTTGAAATTAAAGGGGGGCTAAATTTTCAGAAAATGGTGAAGACCTGAACTCTGAAAAGTCAACTTTCTTTAGTGCCTAAAGTTGGGCAACAAAAGTGGAGACATCCAAATCACTAGTCGGTCACTTTTGAAAAACTGAGGCCTTTGCCAGCATGGCTGCAGATCAGCTAAGGCAACAGCTTATAATATTGAATTTCTGAAGCAAATCTTATATTGATCTCAATATGGTTGTGTATTCAGCAAACTCTAGAGATATTTTTAAAGGTTTCCAATTCTTTCTGCAGGCGACAGCATAGATAATCTTCCCTTTTGATTAAAAAGAGGCTAGCTAGCTTGGAAAGGCTATCAGCTAACAAGTTTGAATACCACATTTGGGTCCCCAAAACTCTGGAATTAACAGTGTGTGACAGTGTGAAAGGGGTACAATTAGCAGCCTCTACTGGCTGATAAGGAGTGGCATCAATTAAGCTCCATTCAGATCTCTTCACAGAAATAGAGTCATTGTGAGGTTATGCCTATATGGAGGGAAGAGGACCTAGATGGGGAGAGACAAGATTGTACAAAGGCATTACCTAGAAGAACTCCCCTTTCTCCAGAATTTCAGTCCTTCATTTTGCTTCACAATTTCCCCACCATGTAGCATAACCCCCATGCTTACAGGATTGTATGGCAACACCTAATACCATAAGGCAGTACTGTAGAACTGTTTGGATACCAACATTAAAATAAATCCCACTGTTTTAAAATGAAGTGATATTCACACTAGCAAAAGAAAAAATTTAAGAACTTTAAAGAGCCAGTGAAGTGAATCTTCTTTGAAACAACATCTACCAATTCGATTCTAGAATCACCAAAATTAAAGATTACTCGACATTTGCTGCTGCTCAACTTGTACAATCAAATGGAGCTGCCTCTTTGCAATGGCAGTATTCAAATCCCATAAAAACTCGAGCAGCATGCCTTTCAAAAGCATCTCCATAGGGACAAACTGCAAAACCTGCTGGGGAGAGTCTGAGCTGAGCAAAGAGCTCATTAGTTTATTCAGGTGCTGCAGGTACTCAACAACTGGATTTGGAAGACCTCGATAGCCAATACAAAATAGAACAGCACTGGTCCCTAGAGGTTCAGAGGATATGGGGCAAGCAAATGTGATGTAGCTGAAACAACCGTGCAGTACAAAAATCAGGCCAGCTGTGAAGCGTGTAAAACAAGAAAGAACAGGCAGAATCAAAGCATCTCCCAGTTGAAGCTGATTAATCGCACGCAGAAGGCAGTCTAAAAGATGCTGCTGATATTTTGGCTCTCCATCATGAAGCAAAGAACAGCTGAAAGTCAAGAGTGTGGCTGACTCCAGGAGCCTAACTTCCATGTTGGACTGGCTTTTGATGTCACAAAGAGACGGAAAGCCCACCACAAGACACTTGATTTGGTCACTGCATCCTTCATTTGGTACCTTCTGATGGTACTTGGTAAGGCTAGACAACTCAGATAGTATCAGTGCCTCAGTAAGAACATTGCAAGAATGACATGGTTGCTGTGTTCGTCTGGAAAAGGAACTAGTTTTTAGTCTGCCTACTAATGATTCTTTAATGGCTTCATTGAGATTCTTCAAGACATCACCATCACAGAATGGAGAACATTTTACTCTTGGCAGCCTCTTTCCCTCCAGTACGTACCATAAATTACATTCAAGGTTACAGGATGACCCTTCCAAAATGCAGCTTTTCCCAGCATTACTTAAAGTGTGCTCTTCAGTCCAATGATTAAGATAGCCTTTGGCCACTTTATCTTCCCATGTCAGGGATTCCAGCATTTTTCTTTCATTGTATGTACTAAAATATTTGTTCCTCTGTCCAAACCATTTTGCATTCATGCTGCAGCCTACATGAGATTTCTTCACTAGCCAGTTATTTCTTGTAATGTGTTTCAGGTGGAATCTTTGCATGAAAAATTCCACTGCACAGTCCCTTAAGTTGTTCAGCTTTACTTGTTCTGCTTCCCCAATGCACTCAAAGAGTCGGATGTTCTCAGATATAGTCTCTATTTGGTACTTGTGAAAGAATGCACAGCATTCTTCATGCATTTTAAGAAAAGATTCTGGAATCACATGTTGGGGAAAGAGTGCTTTGTTAACCATTTCTGTTCCAAAGTTCTGCATCATCTTGGACAGCACAGGATGGATGGCTTCTCTGCCCATGTAATGAAGACAAACTACATAGACTTCAGAGTTCCCGGCTTTGCTAGTGGCAGGTTTAAAGACATGGACCTCCTCGAAGGAACAATTTAGCAGAAAAAGCAGATTGGCAGAACAATGTTCAAATAAAGTGAACATCTTCAAAACAAAGGAGCCACCATTGCCAAGGATCATTAAAGCAGTGACTGCTTCACAGTAATGTAGAGGTGAGACAAGCGCTTCTTGTTCACCTGGATTTCCTTGGCAATCAAAACTCCCATCAGCAGTTACCAAGTGAACAGTGGTCATATTACTTATGAAGTGCTGAAGTCCAGTTAGATGTTTCAATGTCATCACATCCCCAGTATTATCTGGGCCAAAATACCACCATGGCAAGGTATTTGCAATAAGTCGATCATCCATAATCATCACAAGGGTGTCATTTGCTTCATGATATGGGTTTAGGGTATTGGCTACCCAGTTCCAATCGCAGGGAATGTGATGGGATTTTATGTAGTGATTGAGACTGGCTATAAAAGCACCAGGTGCTTCACAGAGATGGACAGAATTGAGTTCTCCATTCTGAAGAGCTTCTTTCGGGAGAAGGGGAAAACTGCACAAAATCTCATGGAATTTGCACCAAGCCTGGGTACACAACTCAGCATTCACAGATTTCTTCACGTGAGGAATGATTATCCCAGCTTTGTTGGTGAAGGAAGTGTGCTGATGCCATGCATCCAATTTCTTATCACTTAGTTGGTTTTTGACTTCATTCATGGAGTCCTTCAGAGCAAGGAGTGTATTGAATTCTTTGTGATTGCAGGTAAACACATCACTGGAATCTGGCAGCTTCCAATCACTATTCGGTGGTTTTGTATATGAGAACTTCTTCTCAAAGAGCTCCTCAATTTCAGCAAGAATCACAGGGCTGAATTTTTCAAGATTTGTGGTCTGCTCAACATAAGGCTTCGTATATTTGTTCATTCTTGGACTAACCCACAATCTGGGGAGGGGAAACAAAGAAAAGATAAGGGGGTTAACATGAACCGAACCAATGACACCTTCCCAACCATAAGAAAAAACAGAATAAGTTAAAAAAAACCTAAACAGATAATGCATTTGTAAACTTTAAGAAAAAGTTAGCTATTTCAACTTGTTTGGTTTTAGAGTTTGTGCTCCAGAATGAAAAGGGAAAAATACTTTACTGAGACATTCTAAGAGTGCAATAAAAAGTTACACAAGTAGTACTGCTTTGGAGTAAGACCTCCATTTTGACCCAATGCATGCACATTTAGACAGAAAATAGATTATGCCTTAAATTCCCCAAGTGCTAATTAACTAGTAAAAGTTATCCAACTAATATAGAAAGGTAACATTTTGGAGAGATCTGGGAGAATTGGTGTGGAGCATGGGGGGAAAGAGCAGAGGCAAGGCAGGAACAACAGCGGGAAGGAACCAAGCAGCTACAGCATGCGCCACAGAACTTTAAGAGACAGTTCAGACTCTTGGCAGGGCGACAGTTGGGTTCTCAGTTCAGAACCAACATTTTAACTCAAGAAGCATTATTTAAGAAAAATGACCAGCAGTTTGGGAGCCAAGAGATCCCCCCTAGTTCTGCAGATCATTTCACCCACCACAAAAAAAATACAGCAATTTAACAGAAACACTGCAGAACTGTTTAGGAAAAGCAGTGAAAAATACTATATTGCAATTGAAAGGAATAGAGGGGGCAAATTGTAACTATCCAAAACAAGAATTTTGGCCAACGCATCTGGGCTAACACAAAAGATGGAAGCTGGAGACTTCATCCTCATGACATAAAAGCAAGTTTGTTTAATTTCTTAACAAGCTCACTTGTTATCCAGACTTCAGACTTTGATTTCACAAATTGAGTGTGTCCTCTTCTACCACCACCCACACTCATATCAAGCCCACACTTTGAAAATGGCAGTAAGTTCTGGTGGCCCCCCATCTAAAAAAAGATGCATTAGAATTGGAAGTAGTATAGAGAAGGGTGGGTACGGAACAGCTTCCATATGAGGAGAGATTAAAAAGACCGGTACTGTTCATCTTAGAAAAGATACAACTAAGAGGGGATAAGAGAGAGGTTTACAAAAAACAAGACTGGTGTGGAAAAAGTGAATAGGGAAGTGTTATTTACCCCTTTGCACAACACAAAAATTAGGAGTCACCCAATGAAATTAATAGGGAGCAACTTTAAAACAAAAACGGAAATACCTTTTCCTGGGAAAGAAGTAGCATGGTTTTGCAGCTAAGGCAATGGGTTTACTGGAAATCAAGCAAAAAAGGTTCAATGTGGACTTATTTTACAGCCCACCACAGACCTCCTGTGACGGTAGGTGGAGGTGTAATTTCCAGTTCAGGTAGACATATTGGCATTAGCTTTGATCAAGTTAGCACACTAAAAGTCACAGCATAGCCACAACTGCACAGGCACCACGACAGGCTAGTCGCTCACATACAATCCTGTCTGAAACCCTAGGGACATACTCTAGCTCCAGTGCAGACATACCCAAAGAGACTTAGGGGATGTCTACACTAGAGCTGAGAGAGAGCCTCACAGTCCAGGTAGAAAGAGTCAAGTTAGCAAGTATGCTAAAAATAGCAGTGTGGGCTTTCAAGCCCATCTGACTCTCTAGGCACACACTTGGGTTGCTTCTAAAGCCACAAAATCCACGCTGCTATTTTTCCTGTGCGAGCTCAAGCCCCACTAGCACAAGTGTTTCTAACCAGGCTGGGAGTTTTGCTCATACCCTCTGTGCCTTGGTTTCACCATCTGTAAAATGGGGGTAACACTTTCCTACCTTATGGGAATGCTCAGAGAGTATAGTGATAGGGGTCAAAGAAATCACGACAGCAGGAAAAAACAACACAGCTAGTGTCTCCCAGTGACCCCCGATCAAACAAATCCCTACTAGTAGGGTAGATATTTGTCAGTCTGATCCTGACAATATTTAAGCACATGAATAACCCCACCATTAGTGTTAACACACAGACCAATGTCACTAGGAAAGTACCATCAGCCAGCCTGCCTTCAGCAACCACACAGGTATGTAAAGGAAAGGAAACGGGCCGAAATGGACTGACCGCATCTCCTTCACATACTTGTATTTATATATACTTGAGCAGCTTTTCTGGGACTGCTACAGCGCAGGCGGTTTCAGGAAAGGACCCACGAGACTCTCCATCTCTCTGAGCGGTAACAGCTCATCTGGGCCCCAGCATTGGTCCACGGAGTTGGGGTGAGGTTTCCCCTGTGCGCTACCTCGCAGCCCACCGCTGCCCGGGGCGGGGGCAGCCCAGCGGGGCTCCGCTCGCTCGGCGCAGGCAGAGGCCCGGGGAGCCGCGCTGGGCCCAGTCGGTCCCGCCCCGCTGGCGCCCTGCGGGGAGTCGGGCCCGCGCGCTTCCTCCCCTCGCTCCGGCTGCACGGCCTCGGCGCCGCCCGCTGGGAAAGGGCGCTGCCGCCCGAGCCCCACGCGGCCCTCGGAGAGAACGAGGCCCCGGCCCGCGCGCTCCTTACCCGGGCCGGCGGCTGCGGCCTTCGGAGAGACGCGAGCCCCGCGCCAGGCCGGGAGGCGGGGCCGCCGGGAACAGAGGCGGGCTCGCCCGGCAGGGGAGGGGCCTGGAGACTCCGGGGCCGTTCGCCTCGGCCGCAGCGTGACTCGCCCCCCGCCCCCCAGGGCTCCCTCAGCCGCCCCTTCCCCTCACTGGCCCCAGCCCCCCCCCCGCCGCCCCCTCCCCTCACTGGCCACAGACCCCGCCCTATCCCTCACCTCAGCCCCACCCTCCTGCCCCCTGCCTTGGACCCACCTGCCTTAGCCCCCCATCTCAGCCCCCTCACCTCAAAGGCCAAGGCCAGCCCGCTGCATGCCAGCCCATAGCCCCTCTCCTCCCATGCCAGAGCTGTCTGCCACAGCCATGCATTTTAGCCTCTCACCCCACATGTCCCATGCTGTGGCCACACCCCTCACATGCCACTGAGCAACTCACCAAGGCTGCATCCCTTTACCACTCACCTCCTTCCCCCCCCCCCCCCCAGCCATCTGCCTCCACCATGCTCTCCCAGCTTCCATGAGTGTCGCATCCCATTGCCACCCCCATTGCGGTCTCCTGCCATGACCACACATAGTGTGTGCTCTTTCCTGCCCCTGCAAAAAAGTCACATGCTACAGCCACCCACCCCATGGTACATCTATGTCATAGAACATCAGGGTTAGAAGTCCAATCCCCTGCTCAAAGCAGGACCAACCCCACACAGATTCCTAAATGGCCCTCTCCAGGATTGAACTTACAACCCTGGGTTTAGGAGCTATCGCTGAGCTATCACTCCCCCCTCCGCAATGCATTAGAGGGCAGACCCCAGCCCCACACCATCTCTCCCTATTTAGGTGGAACTGTCCCTGATTTTTCAGCAGAACTTTCATTATTTCTCTCCTTAGAAAGCTCTCCTAGTCCAGTGCATTTCCTTGGCATTACATAGCATGGTCCTATTTCCTCCTCAAATGTCCCACTGGAAGTTAGGTGTTAGCAGGTCTGTCACACACACGTGCGGTAAACACACACTTGCAGTTTATGCAATTAGCTTTGGTGCCAATAGCACCTCTTAGCTTTACACTAATTATTCAGATCAGGTCAGAAGTGATAAAAACAGGCAATTTTTTCATTGTTCCATGGGAAATGAATTTGGTGGACTCAATCCAGTTCCCACTGGAAAGGTGAGCATATCAGAAAATTCCCACAACCGTTGGCACCATTAAAATAACATGAGCCATGGAATGAGCAGGCCACAAAATAGAAGCAATTCCTCCAGATGTGGGCTCAGCCACATTGAGGGGACACAGAATGGAAAGTTTGCACTGATTGCTAAGCCCCAGCCCTCTGGGAGTTTGGCACCTAATTCTGGGCTGCAAGGAAGTGCCTCTCGCTGCTAGCAGGCAATGAACTGGGGGAAGAAAGGCACTCCCCTGCCTAAATCACACACAGAATCATAGAAGATGAGGGTTGGAAGAGACCTCAGGAGGTCATCTAGTCCAACCCCCTACTCTAAGCAGGAGCAACCCCAACTAAATCATCCCAGCCAGGGCCCGATCCAGTAGGTGAGCTTAGAGGATGCCTAACTCCATACAAAAGACCAGGGGGAAGACTAAAGCAGAAGGGTAGGAGAAAGTGACTCCCTTCTAACTTTTAGCCCAGTGGTGAGACGTGAGAGTACTCGTGTGGGGAAATCCCTGGTTCAAGTTCCCCCTGTGACTGATGAGCCGGGCTTTGCCATCTCTCAGGTGAGTAGTGCCCTAACTACTGGGCTATTGAGTCATTCTACCTCTTTCTCTGGTCCAGTTAATATTCGATTATTTAATGAAACTGGAACAACTTCAATACGAGAGACTGAGAGAACTTTACATCAGTATGTGCCATAGCTTAGTGCTTAGGGCTCTCACCTGCCAGGTGGCAGATATCCGTTCAAATTTCTTCTCATCAGGCAGAGGGGAGGACTAGGGGGTATCCCAAGTCCCCACTGAGAACCCTAACCACCAAGTTAAAGGTTATAAACGAGTGGTTCTCAAACTTTTGCATTGGTGACCCCTTTCACACAGCAAGCTTCTGAGTGTGACCTCCCCCTTATAGATTAAAAATACATTTTTTAATATTTAACACTATTATAAATGCTGGAGGCAAAGCGGGCTTTTGGGGGTGGAGGCTGATAGTTCACAACCCCCCACGTAATAACCTCATGACCCCCTGAGGGGTCATGACCCCTAGTTTGAGAACCCCTGTTATAAAGGGAGTCTTCTCCTCCCCTGCATTCTGGCTATTTTGTATGGAGCTAGGCAGCCTCTGAGCAAGTCTACTGGAGTGGGTCCCACACATGATTTAGGCCAAGAGTGCTTATCTTTTCCTCAGTCCATGGATCGCTCTGGAGCTTAGGGCTGAAATAGGTGCCTAAGCACCAGAGTGAGGTTGCAGCTCACATCCTCAGAGGCAGGAACACAGATGCCTAGGGAATTTTTACTGCAAAAAACTTGGGTGCTGAGATGCCTATGGAGTAGTCAGGAGCCGAATGGGAGTTTTGTGGGTTGCAGTGGCACCCAGGGCCGGCTCCAGGCACCAGACGAGAAAGCATGTGCCTGGGGCAGCACATTGTAAGGGGCGGCATTCCGGCCAATCTTGGGGTGGCACAGTCCGGCCACCCTGCCGTGGTTCTTTTTTTTGTGTGTTTTGTTTTGGCAGCCCGGTCCGCAGCTCCGGAGCCCCTGGCCGGCTCCCCACGCTCCGCCAGTCCCAGCCCAGCCCTGCAGGGGCACGGACCCTGGCCCAGAGGGGCAGGAACTAGCGATCCCTGACACTCACCGTGCCGCCGGGCTCCCCGGGACGCGCCACTCCCTGCCGCCTGCACCAGCCTCCGCCTCCCATGCCGCTCTGAGCCCGGCCAGGCCGAGCCGCCTTTAAAGGAGCGGCTGAGCCAGCTCCTCCTGCAGCCCCCGGGGGCCCTGCCTGCCCGGCCAGGAGAGGCACCCCAAGGCCGGAGGGGGGAGCCCCTCTCGCCCGGCTGCGAGCGGGCTGCAGCCCGGAGGGAGCGGGCGGGCGCCTCCCTTCACCCCCTGTGAGCCGCCTTGACTGCCCTCCACGCGCTCCCTGCGGCTACCGTTTTTTTTTGCTTGGGGCGGCAAAAAAGCTACAGCCGGCCCTGGTGGCACCTAAAAATGGGACTTAGGCACTTAAGTGCCCTTGTGGATCCCATCCATAATATTTAAGGCCCAGTCTCAAAGGGGTTTAGGCTCCTAACTTCCATTGATTTCAATAGAAATTAGGAGCCTAAGTACCTTTGAGAATCTGGGCCTGTGTGTTTTGGAGAGCAAAGAGCAGAGCTGTGGAACAGACACTCTCTGTGGCATCATATTCCTGGAAACCTTCAGGGACTTCCCAGCTAAACAATCACTTGCTCTGCCCAGGGTGGCTCTAGCTTTTTTGCCGCCCCAAACAGGGCAGGCAGGCTGCCTTCAGTGGCATGCCTGCGGGAGGTCCGCCGGTCCTGTGGCTTCGGGGTACCTGCCGCTGAATTGCCACTGAATCTGCAGGACCGGCAGACCTCCCGCAGGCATGCCACCGAAGGCTGCCTGACTGCCGCCCTCGCAAGGACCGGCAGGGTGCCTCCCGCGGCTTGCCGCCCCACGCACGCACTTGGAGCCTGGAGCTGCCGCTGGCTCTGCCTTATCAAACCCACAAGTGGGGGTGGTTGGAGTAGATAGCTAGACAGCAGAACAACTGCCGTGGTGGGCAGAGAGAGAACTAGGGGGCTTGGCAGAAGCTCAGACCCTCTAGGGCCACAGGGATTTCTCTGGAGAGCTCAGCATTAAACCATAGGTTAGGCAAACAAAGTCTGTGCCAGCTCCATGGGGAGCCAACAGCCACCTGCCTTGTCTAATTTGGCAGAAACTCCTTGGTTTTAAAGTAATGGATTTTTCTACCTGGCTTTAGCCCTCCCCTGGGTTTCACTATGGGAGGGCATTATCAGTACCTAAGAGAGAATCGATGTGAACCAAATGCTGTAGCAGAACATCAAGAACCCCAGACTAGATGCAGCCAGAGAAGAGTTTTGCTAGGAGCTAAACAGTGAGCAAGCCTGACATTTCCATATTGATTAAGGGTAGCTGATTTAATCATTTAAAAAACAAATCTTTCCTCATGTTCCAAGAATAAAGGTCAGCAGGGTGGGTTGGGGGAGCTTGTATTCTTACTGTAACTCTTTGCCTTGCACATTAACTGTGAACAAAAAGGGACCTCTTTTGGAGCCACTCACCTACAGCCAAATGGAAAGGCTCCTGCTATGTACAGAGCATCCTGGATTACATGGAATTTCATAAAATATGAGACAAGAAACTGTGCTGTCTAGAAAGAACATCAGCATGCAGCCATCAAGCTCTTACTCCCTAAATCCCTGGACAGAAGAAGGTAGAAACAGTTCATTTCACAGCCAAAATAAACACATTTTTCCCAGACAAGCAGATTTATCCCTGTGATAGAGTTAGTAACGAAAAGATACTCAAGCTTTCCTTCTAGAAAGGATCATTATGCAATAAAAGAGCTTTAATGTGGAGCTAAGATATAGATATTAAAGCATGTTCTCCTTTGAGCGATTTGTTTCAAAATCATCACCCAATCAATGTAATGGAAATGGAAATGGAAGAAGCCTGAGCAAATTAAAATAATACCAGGCAGGTAGCTAAGGGTATAATTGGCTCTCTGGTTGCTTTAGCATTTTTCTCCTAGAATATTATGAATTAGATTGTACAAAACAAGCAGTAGCAATATCAGTGTCAAAACCTTCTCATTCTTAACACATGAGGATTAATGTTAATCAGAATATAATGGTACTAGCTGCAGTAAAGATGGGTTTTTAATTATTCCTCTTATTTTCGAGGAGACCCAAGATTCCTAATGATCAGATCCTTTGGCCAAGGGACGGACTGCTTAGTACAAATCAATGTGCAATATTTTCTGAAGCTTGGAGTGCTTTGTTACAAGCCACTTGGATCATCAGTGTTTGGATAGCACCTAGAAATTGATTGCTATCTAGTGGTTAGAGCAGGGGAATGCT